GTTGGGTGGGGCAGTCATATACTTGTGAAGATATCTTGCCATATATATAGCAGACTTGACTATATATACAGTTATAGATTAATGCGTAAACACATCAACACCGTCAATTATTATGCCAGCGAAGTATGAAGTTGCAGGCTACTATTAGATCTTCAATGATTGAGAATCTTGTGAGCAAAGTTAAGTTAGGACTGCGCGCTCGGTTTGTACAGCGCGTCTGTCTGACAATTGATCTGAGAAATTACGAAATTAATTCGAAACGGTCGCATGTTTATTGATTTCCCGCATATGTTCGTGATCGTCATTATAACGCTATTTGCTAGTTATTTCGTGGTCTTCGTTGGGTGGGGCAGTCATATACTTGTGAAGATATCTTGCCATATATATAGCAGACTTGACTATATATACAGTTATAGATTAATGCGTAAACACATCAACACCGTCAATTATTATGCCAGCGAAGTATGAAGTTGCAGGCTACACTAGTAACAGCGTCATGCACAGTAGGGTTTGATTAACAAGTATGCCTTTCCAGCTATTGATTAGTTTGGTCTGAATGACAATATCTTCTACAGTACTGTGAGTAGTACTGCGTGCATAGGGCTTTCATAATGAGAGGTGTGTGTGTGTTGTAGACGTCATCAACGGTGTTACATACGGCAGCGGTATCACAGTAAGAACCTACCTATACGTGTTGTTGTAGACCTACGCACATGAGCATTACATACTGTAAGAAACTATTGCTGTACGTAGTAATTATACTTATATGTGGTAGTTAGCTATATCATTAGCCGTGTGTTTTCGTGCTATATAGAGTTAGGAAAATCATAGATCTGTTGAATGCGTGTGAATGTAGTTCGTATGTGTTAAGATGTAAAATGGCAATTAAGCTGAACATTTCTGTGAAGAGCGCTACAAGCATTTATGTGTAAGCGTTACCGCGTGGTGCTACTTTTGCCATGATCATCTATTCTTGATAGTATTGCAGTTGTTGAGAGTGAAATTTTTTATAATTTATTTAATAATATTATATTAATTAATGCAAATGCACATTGATTTTATACGTGTAATATCACTTCAGTCTTCAGTATAGTCTGTTATCTTGACAGTTAGAAGTCTCGTCATTAAATAGCATGCATATTATAGTTTCGGGTTAATCTTGTGATATTAAAAAATAATTATGCTTCCGTCGTGTTCGCGCCGTGTAAGAGAAGCAACGCTTCGTGTACAGGGAAAAATCCTGTAGTGCCATGCCAGTAGTAACAAAGAATAGCAGAGCCGTGGAGGAAGTAGTGGCGTCTCACCGTGTGTGCGTGCGTGTGTGCGTGTGTGTGAACAGCTAGCTGTCATGTTGACTCGCTTATGGCCAATGTTTGAATGACACGCGTGCAGGAGCCTCGCTAGTGAGCGTAAGACCTGTGTGTGGCAACACGATCGTCAAATTAGCCAAGCTGATCGATATGTAAAGCTGATATGTAGACGTGTAGGCGGGCAACCTGAACGCGACCTCCCTTATGTAACCTGGGTTGACCATAGCATCACTGTAAGCCGAGGTTAAGAAGCGCGAGTCGTTGGTAGCGGCGCCCTAATATGTATACTTAATAGCGTTATATACTCCATTGGCGGCTTGGTGCTACTGGTGCTATTGGTGTTGGCTACCCTACTTGGTGCTATCAAAAATATATCACCATCATAGCGAGGTATTTTTGGTGCTGGTGAACGCACACGTGCGAAAGCAGTGTTAGCGATATTTAATCCACAGGTTATTCATTTATATACAGAAACTATGCGTAAATGCTCGTGCTATCACTGGCACTAGGTGTGAATAAATATTGCCTTTATTCACTCCTGTTGGTATGCTTGGTATGCGATAGAAGTGTGAATGGCGCAAACGCACCAAACAAGTGCTTGGTGCTCACCCGTTACTAAGGCTGCCAGGGTCTATGTCTCCCTGGGTACTGCCGGAACGTACCCTATGTACGGTCCGGTATACCGGAACGTACCCTGGTACTATCTAATATGCCGGACCGTACCTCGCCTACTCCACTAACGAGTCTAGGGAGTCGCCTACACCTACTCCCTAACCCTAACCATATCAGATAGTTACCAGGGTACGTTCCGGCAGTACCCAGGGAGACATAGACCCTATCAGCGTTACGCAGCGACGCGACGCTGAGCAGCCGATCATGATACGCCCGTTCGAACGTTCTTTCCCGTCTGTTACATATCGTCGAATATATTCTTCACACGGGGAACATATTTGATCTCACCTTTAGTTTTCACTCGTGCTGTGTGTCAATCTGCTGAAAGAAGAGGGAAAACAACAACGAATGCACAAGTTATTCTGTAGCTTTTGGTTCGAAGTTAGCCGTGGGTAGAAATGTGTGCTTGCTCTCTCATCAAGCGGAGGTGACGCGTTTACTTGTTTAGAAATTGGACAGCTTTTCGGTCGTTCTAAATAACTAGTGACATTTTGCTAATGGTAAGACATTTCTGAGATATGACAGCATAGATAGTGTAGCACTCCATTCGGAAAACATGATTAATTAGGTTTGTCAGTCGTGCCAAAATGTCACAGGGAATGTTTGAATAATTGAAGGTAACGTGTGACGAAGCTAACTTTCTCTTCCTCTTCATGTATTCTCTCTATCAAAATAGCATTAGCACGTACGCATGGATGGTCCCATACCCCCAGAATGAATAATTCTGCCGAGAATACATTTTTTGACCGTATTGAAAAGTTAGTTCCGGAAGAAGGGACTCTCGTTCACAGTCAAATGGATCAACTGTCAAATTTGGTTTGGAATTTCGAATTGTATACCATAGCTATGTAAATGAAGACCTTTGATGTGTTTCTTTCTGATCGTTAGTAGTTATAAAATTGCCGAGGCGAATTTTAATGTAGTCCTGGACAGAAATTATGGCAATTTAAAGCGTGGATATGTTTCATTAAAGTCAATGTGCTCAGTGGCTTTCAGTATTCCAATATTTCATAAACATTATCACCGATTCTATAGCTGCGGCCCATTTGAACACATTTATTTAGAGTATGTTGATAAATGCGTGGGAATTTGATCTCAAGAACATAGTGTCCGTTCCTGCTCCTGATTGTTACGATTATTTAACGCATTTGGTTACATGTTTAAACAGCGATGCAATATAGTTGCACGGTACGAATCCAGTAACCTTTAAAAACGGTAAAATAGACGAGTTCTTTTCTAGTTATTGCAACTATTGCTTTTACATTTACAATGTTCTCATATGCTGCTACAATACTCGTTTGTTTAACATGCCTTGAGTGAAATGTACCGTTTCTACCCGAGTTTGTTTTGCCATTAGGCGTTAGTTATACTTTTTTTAGAACAATTGTATTGTGATATAATCGGCTTATTCTATTTTCAACGTATTTTTGTAAAACTATTTACAGTAATTTATTAATTCCTTTGGTTGTGCTGCTGTAGTTAACACTAAGTGGCTTGTAGTTAAAACAGTAGAATGTCATGAACTATAAATGTATGGAAAAATACAATTCTTTTAAACTACGTGATTGCTTTAACAATTTATAAGGCGAAATCAAGACACCGGTGAAATAATTAGACAATCGACAGTAAACTGAATAGATATTATAGAGAAACATAGACATGTACGTGTTTATCGGCTGTGCTGGACAGTGCAGGTTAGAGTTGTTATTTAGAGAGAGATGTTAGAAACATCCACGTAACAATCACATCGTCACAAATTTAGAACGAGACGTGGGAAAACAAACAGACGAGATAAAAGACTAAACATTGTAACTTCCCCTTATGCAATATTTTTATTGGCTGAATAGAGGACTTTGACATAATAGTTATACATTTACCCAACGTCATCACAGAGTTTGAAGAATATAATATAATGTATACATATAATATATTATCACCAGCTATCAGGCAAAACATCTACGTACTCTGGAACATATAAATACTAAAGCCATCTTTATACTAGCACATGCACTAGCATGACTCGAACGCTGCGAGTCGAGTTTAACCGAGCAGCTTACACTTTGATCTGTGATAGAGGATTAGCCGCGTTCACTATTAACTGCGATACAAGTTTTGCCATCGATGTGTCATGCATGACGAGCTCTGACAGTCTGTGTGCTGTACTGGCAGAATCGACGCGTTCTCTACGGATTGCACCTATATGCTGGCTTCCCTCGGAACCTGTACACGTACACAGTCGCTGCTCATCATCATCATAATCATCATCCACTCACTCATCAGTGACGTCACCATGCTTGCAGCTCTAGCAAAATAACACGTCTTGACGTGATGCAAATATCAATGTCTAGGAAGTTATCTCTCTTCCTATCTTCAAACTTCATCTCATATATATATTTCTCAATTTACATTCAACATACGGATCTGGTATTTATATTACAACGATAGCCGCAAAACAAACGACATATGTACTGGCAAAGAGACGTTCATTCAACCACATGTCCAAAAATATAATATAGAATTTAATTGGGAATATAGAGACCGTTTATCATGGACCAACAAGGCAACCCTAACCCTGACCATCAATACAACAAGCACCATAACAACAACCACCCATAAAATTGTTCAGTTACTTTCGAGGCGCCATCTGTTAAAACTAGACAGAGGGAGGAAGCAAACCGAGGGGAGAGAAAGTGACCAGCCGCGGGACAGCGGGTGAGAGGTGTACGTACTTAAGATAAATACTTTCTCACATGCATACACTACACGGTGTGACTGTAAGCTTTAGTGCAAGGCACCCCCCATTAGCTCCCTCGTGTACTACATCTTATCAGCGTGGTACCTCAAACGCTACAGTTCCAGCACATATTTTTCCACATTTAAATTTTTACATTTTGAATCATGTACATGGTGGGTCCACATCAACAACGTTTTAATATCGTCTGTGTTGCATGGTGCTCATGTTCAGAAAATAACTTATCGCTCAAATTCATGTCGGTATAATAATGCAGAATTATCTTATTGATTAAACTACTAGTAATCGTGTACATTACATTAACTTCTTGGTCCTGCCGTTTACAGAACTACAGTCAGAATAACAAATTATCATATTATTATATCATAAGACAAGACACATCCAGAGTAGCATAATAATAACGGAGAAATGGCGAGACGTGGCAGGTTTTACTTGCTGACAACTGAACGCGTAAGGAATTGCTCTTGCTACTACCTCCCTGCCTCAGCCTCTCCCCATGCATCCTCATCCTCGTTATCTCTTCCTCCTCATCCTCCATCCTACGTATTAGTGACATATTCGGGTGCTACAGCCAGATAGCTTTAAAATTATTCGACACAAGAACTCCCTCCGATATTCAATATGGAACACAGTGTGTCTGCATGCGTGGCTCACTAGGTGAGGAAGGGACATCTCTGCTGTGTAGTGACGGCTCACTAGAAGTACCTCATTCAGCTTACTAATACCTTAAGAGTAGTTATACCATGCACCACATGTAATTCCACTTCGAGAGAGAATATTCAGTACAACTGTAACGACTTGCGTTAGTGTTCACTCCGCGTGAGTATGCTGCGAAGTTTATACAGCGATTCGACTGATCTTGCAAATACTTTCGTAGTTATTCAGGCATTCAAACTGCAAAACCTTGTAAGAGTTTGACAGTGCTGGAACACCACTGTAAGCGCCAGAGTTGTCTTTAGCCTTCTTCTACGTGAGCTATAATCACAACATAGCGGCGGCAACATATAGTAACGTAACCCTGATGTAAACAGTAACCATGACGAATACCCGTGATGCGCTGACGTGTGCGGGCCTTGCACCACGACCAGGCATCCGGGAGTCAGCTACACTCCCTGTCATTGGTTTGTTGGGGAGAGTAGAATAATAGTAGTCAATTACGTTAAGCTTTTGGTCACAATAGCAACTTGCAGACGTTTTTCCCGCATCCGTGCCGGTTGTGCACGTGAACCATTTATAGGAAACTAAAATGGGTGCGACAGACGTTTCGGGGAAATTTCTATTTCATTTAAGGGGAGAAACCGTCTAGTTGGCTAGAGTATGAACGACTAGCTTGCATAAATGTTCTTCCTGCTGCACTTGTTTCTCCTGCACACTGATAGCTGATCGGCATCTTTGTAGAATTTTTAACACGTGCCTTAAACAGACAACCGGCCACAACCATGTGGATAATAATAATAATGCTAACATTAACCATAACAACTACAGGCAGTGCAATTTTTCACAAAACCTTTCTTCTGGAAGTACTACAACAGCCTTCATTAGAAATGAGACAGAGACATTTAAAAGAAGACAGTACAAAAATAAAGCTATATCGATGAGACACAGTTTGAATGAGTAGAGATGCGATAAGTATGATACACAATCGGCCTCGTGCTGGGATCATAAACCTTTAGATCTGGGATATAAACATTTTACACCTTAATGGCACTGGCGAGTTAACTGGGCAAGCCCCACAACTTCCTGCCCCCCGCTGCCCCTGCACTGGCCCAGCACTGGCCCGAAACCTACTGCTGCTACATGACCCAGGTGTACGATTTGTACTCTGCCTGTCACACGCTGTCAGTCCTATCCCATGGAAATGTCTCACTCTCCTATCCCTGTCTCACTCTCATATCCCTGTATCACTCTCCTATCCCTGTCTCACTCTCCTATCCCTGTCTCACTCTCATAGCCCTGTCTCACTCTCCTATCCCTGTCTCACTCTCATAGCCCTGTCTCACTCTCATAGCCCTGTCTCACTCTCATAACCCTGTCTCACTCTCCTAGCCCTGTCTCACTCTCCTAGCCCTCCCCTGCTCCTCCCACTGATCTATGCTATGCCGTATTCAGACTAGAATGCATGCTAAACCATTCTCCTGACACACCTTGGTTCGAATTACTAGCGAGTATGTAGAGTAAGTAAGTATGTATGTGAGCAGTGAGATCTTACTGTGTGTCATGTTTCATGTGGTTTCTTACTAGATGTTCAACCCAATCTGCTCTGTTTGAAGTAGACAAATATGTTTTAGTGACATCTGTTACAAAGGCCCACCAGAGGGCAGGGGGACAGTGCAGGGACGTCGTGTACACGATTGCGTGCATGCGAGACAGAACAAAATGGCTTCCTGTATAAAATTGAACAAGTGCATGTGCAGAAGAACTACAAGGAAATGATCGCATACCAATTATTGTCTCCTGGGGATGGACACCATTCTGCATGCTGGTAGCATTGTTGTATACAACTAGTGTACTCTGCTGTTTATGACTACATACGTGCATCACTACTACAAATCTGTAAGACGAATTCAATTAAATATAATTACTAGACTGAAACTGAATCTGACGAGGTTGTAATGCCAACAGCTACACTTCATATGGTACACTAATACTTCAAGAACTACGATTGCTTTTAGTGAAAGCAGGGAATGCCTTTAGATTTTACCCTGGTAATAACACCTCGTAAACAATAGCAACATAAAATGGCACGATTAGCTGAGACGGTAAACGATTGCAATTCTCACAATATAACGAATCTTGTTCGTAGGATTAATACTGCATGTGCCAACTATACAGACGAGTTACACATGTAAACCTCCTCATAACAACACTGTTATCTCCCAGTGATACAGACAGAGAGACGGTACAGTGACAGTGACAAGATCATCCACAGCCTCTTAATCTTGCATTGCCGCGTGTCACCGACATCGTAACCACAACAACGCGCTACAGCAGCAGCAGCATTGATATCGTAACCATGACAACGCGCTACAGCAGCAGCAGCATTGACATCGTAACCACGACAACGTGCAGCAGCAACCGCAACAGCGTGGTCAGCTCCTGGTGCAGCATGCTGTGATACAATGCACAATATGCGCATTAGACCACGTGAAGTCAGGACAACAGAAATAAATGACATGTCGATGCAACGCTCCTGTACGGCGGCGGGAAGCATGCTACGTGAGGAATGTCATTGTTCCTGCCAGCAGGGGGAGCCAGCGTGTGTGTGTGGGGGGGGGGCTCTGACTCCAGGCATTCGTGACGAGGGAGGGAGATGACTGACTGTGCACCGCTGGGACACACGCAGACACCTACTGCCACCGTGCGTACAGTGTCGTCGCATGCCAGCGCGCACCGTGTACGCAGCAGTGCACTCACGACACCTCCTTACCTCACCGCCAGCAGTCGGCAGCACCGTGCGGGTGCTGCGTTCATGAGACGACTTGTCGTGAGTAGGACAGAATCTGCTGGACGAGGATCGCGATGAGGATGCCGACGATGATGAAGCAGAGCAGCAGGATGCTTGCCCACTGCTTATCCGTGAGCGGCTTACGCTCGATCACCACCGCTGTCATCGCAGACGTCTTGCTGCTGGCTGTCTTAACTAGCTCCACACTCTTGCTGGTGAAGCTGGTGATGGGGCTGTAGGTACCTATAAGCTCCCCCGACCCATCAGAGCTGACACGCACCGCACCGATGCGTGCTCGGTACTCAGTCTTAGGTTCCAGGTCCTCGACCGTGTACGATGTCTCCGACCCCTTATATATCTGCAAGCCAGGCAAGGTGAGATTTACTAGAAAATGTCAATGTGTTATCAATATCAGTGATATCAGAGTCACTGAAGCTGCTCCCTGTGTAGTGTAATGGGATAGTAGTGGAATAAGGGGTAGAAGAAGTGTGGAGTATTAGTGGAGTGTGAGTGGGAGAAGTGTGGTGTGTGAGTGGGAGAAGTGTGCAGTGTGAGAGAGAAGTGTGGAGTGTGAGTGGGAGAAGTGTGGAGTGTGAGAGGGAGAAGTGTGGAGCGTGAGAGGGAGAAGTGTGGAGCGTGAGTGGGAGAAGTGTGGAGTGTGAGAGAGAAGTGTGGAGTGTGAGTGGGAGAAGTGTGGAGTGTGAGAGGGAGAAGTGTGGAGCGTGAGTGGGAGCACTGTGGAGCGTGAGTGGGAGAAGTGTGGAGCGTGAGTGGGAGAAGTGTGAAGCATGAGTGGGAGAAGTGTGGAGCGTGAGTGGAGTGTGAGTGGGAGAAGTGTGGAGTGTGACACACATCTAGTATCGGCACGCATCACACACCGCTCCGCCTCCACCGCATGCCTACCGTTCTGAATTCGTCGTTTAGACTGCTGTGTAGCTGTAGTTGGTACAGCAAGAGGTCATCCCCCATCGGTTTCGCTACCGACCACTCGGCTTTACAACTGTTCTCACTCACGTCCCAGATTCTTGGTGCTGAATATACAAACATGATGAAAGCTATTAGTAACATTGCAGGGAAGTCCAAAATCATTATAGTAGAAGCTAACAGACATGTAGCAAACAGGTTTGATTATGACTCACATATTCCTATTCACCTATGTTATTGTGACATCACCTCCAGTTTATCTTTTTTAATAGTGTTAGTGTCATTTGCCAAGGCTTTATTTGACCTATTAATTAATACGCTGAGTATTAGGCAAATAGTGATAAAACAGAACAAATTTATGCATAAATTTTCAACAAATGCATTTAGTATTTTTTAAATGCTGACCTTTGAGTGCAGGAGGAGGGGCTTTGGATGTAGTGAAGACATATTCTTCTGAGTAGGGTCCGTTTCCAGCATCATTCACTGCGAATATTCGGAAGCTGTACGAAGTTTGTTCTGTCAATTTATTCACTTTGAAGGTCTGACTTGTTCCATTGTATATCGGGGCAAAGCTGCAATGACAAATTTATAAGTTCAGATCCAAATACACACGAGATAAACTACATGTCAGTTATGTTATTGTAGCGATGCAAATTCACGCGAGTAAAGTTTAATACCAAAATGTAGGAGTATAAGATTATAAGATCGTCCTACTGCACATTGAATAATTGACACCATAAGGCTACGGGTATTGGTAACCCTTGGGAAGGCATATGGTGTGATTTGTTTTAGAGGGCCATGGGAGGCATTAATATTAGAGAGCACGCATTAGAGTACGGCCAAATAATGTTCTGTACCTTCCACTGCGACCTGACATCTCGAGTATGTACTGAGTGAAATCTGTGTTCTTGCCATCGCCCCACTTGAGCTTGAGATTGTTGTAGCTGCTGCTAGCGCACTCTATCCTCGGTGGAAGCGGTGGTAGGGAGCGTGTTTGGATCTTCAGTGGTGTGCTAAATGGTCCAACACCCACACTATTGACAGCCTGCACACGAATCCTGCAAGATAAAAATGACAAACATAGTGTAACAAAAATAAAAACAAATACAAAAGCAATAATAATAATAATAATAACAATAATAATAATAGTAATAACACTGAATAATATTGGGCTCTGCACTCATGTATTTGTGTTGAAGCATAGACAACAGTTTTGATGTAATCTGATTGTAGCAGACTCATGTCAATATCATGAGGAGTTATTCTCTGCTAGCGCTGCTTCCTCACCAGTACTCCAGCAGGTCCATGTCGAACACTGAGATCAGGTCAGGCCATAATAAAAATATTGTTTGTTTGCCCTCACCCAACCGACCCGCCAAAAAAGGGCCGACTCAAAAAATAATTTTATTGATCTTTCCCATTCTTTTTTTTACAAATTGTATCACTGTACATTATATAAATCTGTAAGCAATACATTATATGTACCAAGCAAAACAAACATTCAACATAAAAGGTATCTCCACACAAGCGAGCATGTAGACACACCATGCTGAATTTGTAAAAAGACCCCCCTCAAAAAGAAAAGTAAAAAAAGCCTACCTACCTACCCAAACTTTTCAGCCTGGGTCGGGTGAGGGCAAACAAATATTTGTTTAATTGTGGCCTCAGCATCATGCTTAGACATGGTTATAACTCAACCCTCACCTGTAGACAGTCTCAGGTGTGAGACTATCGACGCAGTATTCCAGCAGGTCCGTGTCGAACACTGAGATCAAGTTGCCGTTACAGTCGATGTTGTAAGATGAAATGTCAGCTCCGTGAGCGCTCGGCGCACGCCACGTTAGCGTGATGCTGGTTGCCATGACGACGTGTTTGATGGATGTGGATGAGATGGCGGCGGGCGATGATGGTGGTGTGGTGCAGGAGGCTGCGGGGCTAAACGGTCCCGCACCAGCCGTGTTGATCGCCTGCAAGGGGAGAAACAACAGGGTTACATGCAGGTAGGCTGCGATCGTTACAACCAGCAACACAGGTAATCATCAGCGAGCATTCCACTGCTGACCACATGAGTGCAGACCTGTGTACGACAGAATGACTACGATACCAGCACTATGTTACTCTGCCCAGAAATGCCAAGGCATGGTGGACGAGGTCTTAGACACATTAACACATCAACAATGATCCATGTCCAGTGACCCATGCCAGTGTGACATTGCACCCACCTGTGACAATATGACACTGCTCCCCCTGACAATGTGACACTGCTCCCCCTGACAATGTGACACTGCTCCCCCTGACAATGTGACACTGCTCCCCCTGACAATGTGACACTGCTCCCCCTGACAATGTGACACTGTCCCCTGCTCACATATTGCTGTCGATAGACAGATGTCTCACCTGAACTCTGAAGGAATACTGTGAGGCTGGGGAGAGAGCCTTGACCTCATAGCTGAGGGCAGCTCCCACATACAGCTGTACAAAGTCTGCGCAGTCTCTCTGATTGAGCCACTCCAGGCGGAACTCTGTGATAGTTGCACCATTGTTCACCGGCTCCTCCCATGACACAAACAGCGAGTGAGGAGACTTGGCTTGTACCTGGACTTCCTTGCAGCGGTCGGGCGGTCCTGCACCACTGACCGCCTCCAGAGGATCTGACCACTGACCCGCCTACAGGACAGAACACATACGCATGTGAGGCAGGTTGCAGCATATGGATGAGCAACTAATATAAGGCAGTAGCCTCAGATCAGAAATTGTGGGATTATTCTCCTCTTGACAGGTTCAAATGATGAAATCCTTAGAATAGTAATGTTTTTCTGCTCTAAGCTAGGCCCACTATTGCTGTGATATTATCTTATAATTTCTATCCTACAATTAAACCATTAGAAATGCTAAAACGTTTGGTCATTGGCATTTGCCCACTAGAAAGTTAGAGTGGAAGGAGGACGGGTGGACGTAAGGGGCAGAAGGGAGGGACATAAGCAAAGAGAGCGAGCAGACTTGCACCTACCCCTGCCTTATTGTACGCTCGCACTTGGAAAAGGTAGACTCTGCCTGGTAGAAGCCCAGCTACTGCACAGTCTGTGTCGTAGCCTTTATACACGTATCGCGTCGTATTGTCCGGCATCGTCATGCAAACCTCGTACTCGCTGATCGCAGCGCCACCTGTATACGACGGACAACCTGCAAGATAGAAATACATCGCTGTGAGTTACTATTACATTTTCCCAAAAGATGACGCTAGTTGTGCTGCTGTTTCTAGACGATCGGCAGCCCGGATATCCGCGCGAAGCACGCAAACGCCGCGCAGCGGTGACACTTACACGATTTTGCTGCACCTTCAACATCACCTTACACGGTTTACATATATAACGCAAGCACCAACTTCGCTGAATTGAGCAGTTCTGGCCATTCGACGATCGGTTTGACTACCCAGGGAGCTCAACATTTCTTAGAAATGCTCCTAATTCGAAGTTCGCTAGTCGGCGCGCTTTGTTTGCTTTAAAAAACGCAGATGAACTTTGTTGTTTGTTTCTTTTTGTTGATGAGTGTACTACATATGACGTCCCATAGATGGCGCCACGATGCTACCACACATAGCCTTCCGCTCCCACTTATCGTGCATGCAGCTCGGCAGGCCGGCCTGACGGCTAGACTCGTACCCGGTCGACAGTTCCACACGCTACGGCACGGGTAGCGAACGCGAACCAGTCTAGCTGTAACCTCCTAAACTGCATCCAGCGCGAACAAAGAGAAAGTTAAAATGTTTCTTTGTGTGTTATACTTATAACTGCGTCAGCATACCTTGCAGTCTCATGAACTTGAAGTTCAAGTAATATTTATTTATAGTCGGTATGATTACAACGTCAAAACATAAGCTCTGATGAGCTTTTAAGACCGAGCAACTAACATAGGTAGACCAATAAATCAAACACTCATCTACAGCTTCGTTATGTGCTGTGGCATAGAGTTGTGTCGAGAGGAGACCGATACGGTCAGCGCCGGATGGCCTCACAGCCAGTACTGTGGAGATTTCAGGGGGGAGTGAAGAGTTGGGGAGATTTCAGGGGGATGACGTCATACAACCAGAGACCAGCCACCGCAACAGAGGTAGAGAGTTTTCTCGATGTAGTAGGTCAGGGAGTTGGACCCTCACGTACACGCGCCGGGCGAGAGGGTGGCGCCAGCCGATGTGGGAGGTCAAGGAGTTGCACCCTCACGTACACGCGCCGGGCGAGAGAGCGGCGCCAGCCGAGCACGTCGCAGACAAGGGGGTACGACGCTCGAGCGTATACTGTACGAAGGGGGTTGCATCACCCGTACACGTGTTAAGCGAGGGGGTGACCACGGCCAGGCACCCGAGGCACGGGACAGGGAGGCGCCGCCTGGATCTACGTCACCGCGGGCTCCTATATAAGCAGCCAAGATGCAATGGTAAAGTTAGTCAGTCTTCGGACGGCCACGAACGTACCAACGCACACGAACGAACGAACACGAACGAACGAACGAACGAACGAACGGACGAACGGACAAACGAGCGAGTGAGTGAGAGCACGCACACACACCGTCGGAGGGAGAGCCCCTGCGAGCCGGACAACTCCCGAGAAGGTATACCTTATACTAAGGAAGCTATAGCCTACACATGACAGAGACACACTGCCAACCCACGAACTCGCGCCGAGCCGCGAAACCCACGACTGGGAGAGACAGAGACGGCTACAATATTAACGTGTAGCATAGCTAAGCGAAGTAAACGTGTAATCGCCTAACGAGATAACGTCTACGTCACACGAGCAACGCGCGGGCCGAAGCGGATACACATTTTTGCATGTATTAATACATGCTGCGAGCATGGCGCCTAAAGCCAAAACAGCCCTCATTGGTCTTGTGTGATTGCCGACTTTGCAGAAAAACCTGCAACTCGCCTGCTCCCAGTTACCTTGACGGTCACCGTCAGAAAAACGACATGCCCTGCCCGTCGCTAGTGCGTGCCTTCGTGTGTGTGCGTAAACGGGATACCTACCTGTTTATGTGTACATGTAGCGTCTACACTCTACATACACGCGTATGACTATGCGCGCGTCTTCCATGTACGTGTGTATGTGCAGGTGCGTGCGGGCATGCGTGTACGCCTACATGCATGCGTGCGCGTGCACGTGCCTTCGAGCGTGCGTATGCGCGTGCGCGTGCGTGCATACGTTTAGCTGGTTTGTGTAGATATGCTTTCTCCTCGCACAGTTCGCTGTAGACACTCATGCGTACGCACACATTGTAATCATTACGCACGTATGTACGCCCGCACGCACGCACGCGGACCGACGCACGTCGCATGCCGGTACGTACTTATAGAGGCAGCCAAGCACGCAAGCACATAGCTGTAGTACTAGCAAGCACACACACACACGCACACACGTGAGTATACATGTATGAACGCAGGCAGTCACACACGGACGCACGTACATACGCACGCACGCCCGCACACACGTTTGTATGCGTGCATGTATCTCTTTGCATGTGTGTGTGCGTGGCTCAGTGCGTGCGTGAGTGTGCTTCAAATAATATAAACCCACAAAGAAAACATAAAATTCCCCGACCCCCCCTGACTATTCCTTGAAATTTCCCGGTAAAATTGTCGACTGTTCGCTGGCAGCTATGGATCCGTGCGCCGGCCTATGCATTCGGCGCACGGATCCATAGCTGCAAGCGCTGCATACTGTCGCTGGACGTTTCCGCGGTCGCGTGCGCCTTGCCGCGGAACTGCGCGCAACATCTGCGCTCAGCGCTTCGGATCAACACCTTTCGGCAACGCTTCTCTAGTATCCCGTCTCATCTGGTTTGTCATGTGTCTACAACTGCTTTCACGTTAAGCTTTGGTAGTCATCACGCATACAGAAAAATCACCATCATAATCCTGCTCCATTTGAAGCCGTATGAACATTTAATCACTAATATAGACAAGTGCCGCAGAGCGACAGCGCTCACCTGACGGCAGGTGCTCTGATGCTAAACTCACTGGCAAACGAATGAAGAGCACCCTCCCATCACCGAATTCGCGTTCAGAGCATATATCTAGGATACTACTAATACAGATCTAAAATCTATGATAGCTAGGCTTTGCTATACCGGTAGTACAGTAATAAAGATACACCTGTGTAACTTTAATGACTTCGCTATATTAACATGTTATCATGCATATGCGTCGAGCGCGAGCGTAGTGGTGGTGGTGGTGGGGGGA